GAAAACAAGTGGCGCTTAAAACAAGCGTATAGAATGAGGACAGACTGTACAAGGAGATTCTCGACCATCCACACCTTCATTACTCATCATTACCAGAGCTGTAATTGAAGCACTGGCTGCAGGTGCTTTGATTTGAACATGCCATCCATTGACAGAGCACAGTGGGAAGTTCTAAAACCTCCACAAGTCCTGCGCTGTCCGCCCACTGTGCTCGACACACCTCAGGAACATTCAGCGACACCGGGTTAAATAGATGGTTCATTCTGTAAATGTCTGTGTTCACCATCTGCGCAGACCAGCTCGGTCCAAGTGTGGCATGAACAGAGCCGCATGTCCGCTCATCAGCCTGAGCACACGCACGTCGTAAGCATTAATTGGCCGTTAGGTTTTAAAGTGGAAATTGGGGCTATCAGTACAAGCAGAGAGAGACATGGCTATAGAAAGGGAACAATGGTGTGGAAGCCGCTGTGTAGAAGCCAAAAATGTAATAACAGCAGATAACGTAATAAATTTGCACTTTTTAAAATGTAATAGGCCAATAACGTAATAACTGGCCAATCACGTAACTAAAGTCCTGAACCAATAACGTAGTAAGTTATTATGTTATTGGCCAAAAGTTATTACATCGATTCAGGACTTTTATTATGTTATTGGCCCGTTATTACGTTATTGGCTTCTACATGCTGAATCTTTCTTTAAGGTCCTGCAGACCTAGCTGCTAGCTCAGCATTATGCTAAAGTGTGACATAGTGATGTCGATAAGTAACAGAAGAAAAGCCTGGACTTCAAACAAGGCGTTTCAGGCTGGTTAGGAGAAGTGTTTTAACTTCTTTTAAAGTGGACTTTAGGCTTTTTAAGTTTGCAAACCTTTTACATGCAAAAAAACACCAGCTACATACTAAAGAAAGGCGGAGAAAAAAGGCATAACGTGGGCTCTTTAATTGCAAAAATAGAACCACTGATACCGATGAAATAATGCCAAAGGAAACTGTAACAGGTTAAGTAACCAGGATGTTGGATTTGTTTAACTTTAACTTCGCAAATCAATCTATAAGTCTACAGATTATTACAGTAAAAAAAAAAGTTAAATTACTTCTACATATTGCTAGTCAACAGACCAAAACCTATTCAATTTAAAATGGCATAAACAAAGAGAAACAATTTTCAAAAGCCAATTTATTTCAGTCATATTTGAGTTCTCGTACCACAAACAAACTTCCACTCCTCTCCATTGCGTTGGAGTTGCAGCAGAAAATCTCAAAAGACAAATATGTTGAAGCCTTTGCAGAGAAAACAGGCTGCGGTTTGAGTGAGACGACTCTTAAAACGCAGCTTACCAACTTTGAACTGGGGTGCGAAGCTGCAGCAGGTGACTCCCAGGTCGTGGGCGTCCTTCTCGCGGTGCAGCAGGCTGACGTTCACGTCCCAGATTTTGAGGTCTCCTTGGGTGCAGCCGGTCACGAACATCTGGCCGCACGGAGAGAAGCAGCAAGCCACGACGCTGGCCTCGCTCACCGCGTTGCATCTGCGAGGGTTTGCACTTGGTGTTAACAGTGAGGTTTATCAGGAGGTGTGCAAAGAGGCAAGAAGCAGGACGTGATCTAGAACACATTAATCCCGCTTTAGCTCCGTGGAACCAGTTTGTTTCAGCCTACTGTGGAGTCCTGCGCTGAGTGTAATGAGATTCATTTAAACCACCTGCCAGAGTCTTAATCAGAGACACTCAGCAGGCCTGGCTGCACAAATATCACAAGTTCAGTGAAATCAGGGGAATAATAGATAAAAATTGAAAATAATCTTCATAAACTGTTTTCTTTTTAAGTTATTTGTCTTTGCTGTTATTCAATCAGTCCTATTAGGTTGGTTACTCCTGTGTTTGTCTTGCTCCGGCCTTCATTAGCCCCATTTGTCTCTATTGACAGAGCAGTAACCTGAAGGCAAACCTGAATTAAAGCTGTCCTGAGGTCACTCCAATCTTTATTTAGGCAATTAGATCAGCGAGTCTGAGACGATGCTGAATTTAGGACGATTCTAAACCGTGTCTGGGAAGAACAATGAATTAGCAACATTAAAAAGGTCCTAAAAATGTTTTTTACTGGTTTGAAAGTGTGACTTTGACAGAAAAATCATGTATCGATGAGAAAAGACTACCAGGACAGTTGTGCGCCGACTCCACCTGCTGATGAAGGCTGAGATGTTGCTCAAAATTAAACTGCAGTTTCAAGATTTAACCTTTTAGTCTCAACTTTTTTGTTCAAGTAAAGTTTGATCAGATTGTACTTCACGCTGGATACAGTTGTCCTCAAATGTATTCATATCCTCCCATTAAAGAAGGAAAAAAATGTATGAAAATCATGACATTGCTTTTGAATTGTGGTTCAACAGAAATATTTAACAAAAAACAAGCATGATGGGACCCGTAAACTAACATTTTGTTGAAGAACCCTTTGAGCCAATCACTGCCATCAAGTGTTTTCTGTAACTCTCAATCAGACTTCTGCACCTGTTGACAGGTGTTTGGATTTCATTCCTCATCAGCAAAGTGCTCTAATTTGTCAGTTTGTGTTGTTGTTTTTTTATTATTATTCTTTTCAACCACAATTTAAAAACAATTACTTATTTCACTAAAGTATAATTTTGCAAATTTTTATTTATTATTACTTTTTTCAGTTTCTAGTTATTTAGTTATTCTAGTTATTGTGAATTTTGCCTTTTCTTTAAGGAAGAAATCTGAGGATGAAACACACTGAACATGAACTGATTCCAGCCTTTGTTGGCACGTCACAGCAATCTGATGGGATAAAACAAGACATTTGAAGATGTGACCTCTGACATTTATCACTATTCTCCTCACCTTAGATGCACCGAAGGAAAAACGAACCCCAAAGTGGATGATTTACAGACTTTCTCTCTTTATAAATATTAACTAAGGAGTCACTTCACGGTTTGCTTAAATATTTATGGGAAAACGCTTTAAAATGTCCATTTAAGGCTGGAACTAGGCAGGAAACTGGGCCTTGATTTGCTGCCGTGGGTCACACTGTACCTGAGCAGTGTCTTGGAGGGGAACTCCCAGAGGGCCACGGTGCCATCGCAGGCCCCGGCCAGCAGGAGGGAGGAGTCCGGCGCCAGTGCGCACACTCGGAGCGGACTGCGGCCCGGGTGCTGCAGCTCCGCGGTCGCCTCACCTGTCTGCGGGCTCCACACCACGACGCGTCCGTCCGTGGAGCAGCTGAGCAGGTGGCGGCCGCAGGAGCTGAAGCGGCAGCAGTGGACCCTGTAGCCGTGACCTGTGAGAGGAGAGCAGGGCAGCTCCGAGAAGTCCGCCGTGTCGTAGACGCGCAGGGTTTTGTCGCCGGAGCAGGTCGCCAGCAGGGACGGAGAAAAGGCGCAGCAGCTGACCTCGTCCGTGTGATGTCGAAGAGTGTGAATTAAAGACACCATTTTGTGACAGATGTGCTCGGCAGAGGCGGCGGATTGATCACAAGGTGGCGCAAAGTGCTCAAATAATCCACCGAGGAGCCTGATTGTGTCTGGCGTTCTCACTGGAAGCCAATGTGCCAAGTGTTGCTGCTGCTTGTGTTTGTCCACTTCCTGGTCCGGAGCGGCTGTAAAGTCTCTCATCTGTTATCAGTCATGTGAGGTGTTGCGTTACAAGGTTCAGAGGCGAGTTTTTTTCATTCTTAAACAATCTAACAGTTAATAACCTTCAGTTTTCTTTTCTGTAAATAAACATGTTTACTGATTATTGACGCATTCGTGCGTAAAAAGCGGTTTCCTCCCCTAAAACTGGATGAGAGTGGAGCCTCCAGATATTTAACATACAGGTGACACAATGGAAAATCTGGATATTCTGTTGTAGCATTAAAAATAATACATGCTGATGTACTTTTGTTCCTTATTCTACAGTGAAATCATCTGATGTGCCCTGATGGATACAGGTACAGAAGACATTCTGGTTATTCAGGTGACCACTGTTTAAAATAGCTATTTAAGGGATAAAAGTTTACTTGTGTTTTAAATATTGATAATTCCATCCATGTGTGATCGTTTATCCAGCTACGGCAGCTTATGCGACAGTAAAGTGTGTTTTCGTTGCCACTTGACTACCTGATGTTCTGGTTTAATAATCAGGTAGGTCATGTTCTCTAAATCATCCACATGCAGCATAATGTCACTGCTGAGAAACTGTTTGATCTTCCTAATAGCAAAAACCTGATACGACAGCAAAATGTTTTGATTTTAAAATAGTTCAGACTTTTGTAGTAAAATATAATCCAGCTGTGATGGAGCTCAGGACGCAGGTGAAGGAAAGTCCTGTGTTACTGACTTCAGATCTGCATGTTGGGGATAATTTAGAGGTAATTAATGAAGTTACTGCTGTGTTGTGTTGCGGGTAAATGTGCACCACTCTCTCTCTTTGGAGACCTTCATGTGGATCCTGATGCTGCAGGTGTTTAATAAATTCAGAGGAAAGACTCCTACAAACAGCTGGAGACAACAAACTTTAGCTCCTGTTAAAGTTTTGAGTACTGCGTGTGCATCTCCGCCAACAAAAGGTGCAAACTGCAAACCGCTTTCTGTGATGTTTATGAACAGCAAACTGGCTGCTGCTATACATATTACTGTTGTTGATGCTGCTTTTACTTGCACTTGCACACTATAGTTGCATTCACTGACACCTGGACACTGCAACTTAAGTGAGTGAACTATCAGATGGCCACAGGGGTTAAAGCTGATTTTAAGTTGAAGTTAACAATTAGAGTTACTACTGCGCACAGAAATACTTCAGTAAAGTACTAGTGAGTGCCCCAAAATTGTAACTAACTACAGAAATTGAATGAATATACTTATAACACGTCACCAAGGGAATTTAACTTTAGTTAAATATCAACCCAGTGAAAAAACGTCAAATAAATCTGATTGAAAAGTGGTGAAATGATAATAATCTAATGGTGATAATAAGTATAATAAAAATGGAAAGTAGTGCGGCGTAATGCTGATGTTTTGCAAAACAGGTTTATTTTAACCATCCACAAACCCACTATTTAAAAATAATATTCCTACAAAAGCCACTACTCATTTCACAATATTCATAATAAAATACAGTTACTTCAAGTCTTCTGACTTCAGCTGTCTTGAGACGCCTCCAGCGGACCGTGACACTGTCTGACTCCCAGCTGGATTTAAGCCCAGTGCAGGTTTCACGTCTGTCCACAGGATGTCTGACAAGGCTCCGGTTGAAGGAAATGCTTGGAGATGAAACACAATATATGCACCACGTCAAATCAGAGGAAAGGCTCTTAAGACTTTAACAGCTTTCCTACAGTTACTGTGCAGGACACACGTACAGTCAGAGGTCAGGCACTACAATACTGAGGAGTGTTTCCAGCGGATATTCACACATAGTAGGTGCTACAATCATCTTTATGACGACGATCTTCATCAGGACTGTGCCGTGAGTACACACTGTACACGTGATAAATAAAACGCGCGACAGAACAAGCACGTAACCTGTCAGTGATCCCACTTTGTATTTTACACAATGAACCCATAAAAGCAGATGAATATTAGTCCTGCAGGTAACCTCGAGTTGCAAAGCTGTAAACAATTCTTTTCTGAATTATTTAATAGTTCATAAAACAATCTTTTGTTTTTGTTTTTTTTTAAAGCTTTGTGCTGTTTTCTGCCTTTTCTTAGAAAAGATTGAAACATAAATAGTTGAGAAAATAAATACACACACATACGCACACACACACACAAAGCTATACCATAGTAATAACGATAAAAATAAAAAAAGTAAATGATGTATCTACAACGGAAATCTCTGATTCCCAAATACAATATTGAGTCAGGAGTCAGTGCATTTTGATAAAGAATAGTATTGCACTTGAAGATACAAATCCACAAAGTGTTCTTTTTTATTTTTTTTCTTCACCACCACGCCGACCAGGAGCTCGTCCCTAAACGCCGCACATCAGTGGTATTTTAACTCTGTATTGATTCGGTGTCAAAGGTTAAGGGAAGGCCTCCGACAACACAGAAGTCTGATATGTAGAGAGCAGCGTCCACGCTGGGAACGTTTACTGCAGCAGCTCCGTCCATCGTTTGTCAAAGAATCTCCTCATGCTGTGGCCGGCTCGTCCGATTTCAGAGTCATCTTCATTAAATCTTTCACAGTTGTCAAAAACCAGGTTCACGTCAATGATGAAGGTCTCCAAGTTTAAGTACCTGCAAGCATTAGAAATAGTTTTAATTACTGAGCAGAAGCCAAATCAAAAATTAGAAATAACACAAACACATAAATACATCAAAACATGTTCTTGAAAACCAGCACTGTGACAGTGACACTTACTGGTTGTTGCTGAGCTTTTCCTTGATGGTGGAGAAGTCCATGGGTTTCTTTATAACTTTTCTGTATCCGGGGACGACTTTGTGGTTGACCGGTGTGAGGAAGGGCCAAGCATCTCTATGGGACTCCAGCTCGGCCAAAAGCACTCTGGGAGGAAACAAACGGCAAACAAAGCTCAGCCTCTTGCACTGGAAATATAACATGATTTAATTTAAATACAGTTTCACCTGTTTGAGAACAAAACATGATCAGATTCTGATTTTAGATCTGATGTGAAGCATAAAAATAGTTGGAAAATGTACCACCAGAGCTTAAAAAAAATGTTTAGTTTTTTTTTTTTTTTTTTAAATAATGAAAAGAGGTCAATTCAATGCTGCTTGCATGTGTTTAGTATGCACTCGTACATACCGGCACGTTGCCAAGCCGTTTTTGTCGTCCTTGGCTGTTTTGGCTTTCTTTGCACAGGGGACAGGGCTGTCATACTTGGCCTGGCAGCTGGGTGGGCTGTCGTCTCCTTTCCTCTTTTTGAACTCCTTGGTACCTTTCTTTGGCATGCTGTTGCTGCTGGCATGCTCCTCACTGATGAGCTCTCCTACCACAGATGGCTTACTATTTCGTTTTACCTCAGTGCTTTTCTTTCCTCCTCCAGCTGTTCGGCTCTGTTGATTCCTACTCCGAGGGGATTGACCACTTTCCTGAATGACAGAACGCACATATGACAGTAGACACACACAAAACACGCCATTTATCCGACTCTCTATGTGTTGCTCTGAAAGATGGACCGATACAGAGTAATAGAGAAGTATAAAGAGAAAAGAATATCTGCTCTGTGGTCAGTTGATGTACCTTTGCTACACAGGTAGGACAGAACCAGTCTCCATCAGGTACTGTCGTAATCTTCGGTTTATGGCAGTAAGTGTGGCAGCCTTTGTCACAGCTGTCACAAAGTAGAAGCAGGTCCTCATTATCTCCCTTTTGACAGAGCTGGCAGTGCTGAAACACAACAAAACGGGAGAGGCAATGAGCATCCGGCTCTATGTGTAGTTCCAAATTCAACCTGAGCTACTGTCCCCCACCATAAAATGTAGTGACATGCAACTGTGTGCAAACAAATCATGAATAAATTAGTTTCATGGAAGCGAATGAGAAGCCACAGAGGCTAAAATACTGTTTGTCTAAAGGAGCTTCATCCTTAGTGTGAGTTATAAATGTATGATTAACATATATTAACAAATCTGTGATCAAAAAAAGAATCAGATGACACCAACCACTTTCATGATGGCTCGTTCCCAGGCGATGGACTTCTGCAGCTGCTCAATGCAGAGCGACAGCTGAGCTGAGCTGCGGACCTGACTTAGCGCTTTACGGAACAGCCTCATCCCAGGAGCAACCTCCTCCTCGCTGCTTCAAGGTCACAGAAAGTCAGAGTGCATTTAAAGTGCATGACAACAAGTCGGTTTGACACAGAAGGTGTTCATATTTTCTCCCGTGTGATGCACCGTGCACAGTTACACACTACTGCTAATAAAAACACAGGTGCAGTGATGTTATCCAGTCTGATCTGAAAGCTTGGATTTAGGAATCTCTTGAGGTACCTTCGCTCAATGTTCCTCTCCAGCTGTGCCAGCCTGGTCACTGCGATGTCAAGAGGGTTGTTGAGCCGCCGCTGCACCACGGAGCCAGGGAGGTCCTCGTGACTAGTTTCTCTATGACCCTTGTTTTCCAGAGCTGGGGAAGAGAAGAGCTTGTGCTCATGATAGACCAGATCTTTGCTGTCTGACTGGGGCTCAGGGTGCATCCAACCCTGAGGGAGAATCAGAGAAATATGTCCATCACAACACAATATTTAATGACGCACTCATCAACTTAGAGACAACCTTAAAGCTATTAAAGCACATACTAAAGAATTCAATTCCATCTGGAAACACCTGTGGTTTCTCTATGTGCGCTGTAAACAGATGAGAGTACAGGATGTTTATTTGCCGCTACCTTGACCTGCAGGCTGGCAGAGATGACTTTCCTCTCCAGAGCTTCAACCTGCTGCAGCAGGCTAATGTCCACCTCCATGGCCTGCTCCTCAACACACCAGCTCTCCACCGTGTCCTCGCTTACCTCCTGCTTCTCCAGCTCTCTTACATCGATTGCTGCCACAACAGACACATTAAAACATTACAGCAGACAACTGACCACCGAAAGCAGTTCATTTATATATTCAGATGTGGCAAATCAGTCAACAACTCAAAGAACAATACTGTTGTTTGTTTATAATTGCAAGTTAAAGAGAACAGAGGAAATGTGAACGAACCATCCTTAGTGTTGGCACATAGCTGGGTCATATGCTCCATATGCTTTTGGATCTGTTTCTGCAAGACCTTCTCTCTGATCCCTCGGCTATTGAGGGTCTTAACCAAACTGTGCAGGTTCTCCAAGTCTGACACTCTCCACCAGCCATGGAGCATCTCTGCCAACACATGCATGCACATATTTAGGTACTATTGTCACTATATTTTTAATTTTAGCAAAATAGGGAAGTTGCTTCTAATCCAATTGTTGCATAGCGGCAGAATACTATTCTTACCCTCTGGGATGGGCTGAGGACAAGGGTAGTCCTGGGTCTTGGCCAGCTCCACAGCAGGGAATGAGACACCAGTTAACTTGTCACTCTGTGGCTCTGGGGTCTCACTCTTGTTGACAGCGTTGTTATTTGCCAGAAAGAGGACCTTGTTTGCTTTACCCTCTGCGAGCTGGGTGGCTAGATCCAGCAAGGGGGTTAGAGGAGTGCCAGAGAAGGGCTGGCTGGGAGTTGCTGCCGAGCCGAACACGTCACACAGTGTTGGTCTGCTTTGATGAGTGCCAGGCTTTCCTTGCTGAGAGAAAACATACATTTCTTAATTATGATCAGATACCATGTGTACAATGTTTAAGGCAGCTGAAAGAAAGAGTTTGTCCGACACAGGAAAACGGTTGTGCCATATGGACTAATTCTAATTCATGTCAGTGCTCCAGAAAGCACAACTTCATCTTTGTAACCGAGATGGAGATAGCATTATTGTTATCCACCAACCTGAAGGATAGGTGATTGCATGTTATTGATCCCAGCAGTCGTGTTGTAGCTTGCTGTATCTAGGGGATTAGGGGAGCAGAAGGAGGGGGATTTGGCCCTGATGGGTTGTGGAGAAGAGGAGGAAGCCGGGGGACTGGAGCCAGAGGTCACCGAGGACTCATCGCAAGGAGAGCGAGGCAGCAGGCTGAACCACTGGTTGCTTTTTTCAGTCAGTATCTTGGACAGCTGGTCGTAATGAAGGCTGGATTGAGGACTGCAGGTCATCCAGAAGCTGTTTTTGAGCTGGGAAGCGCTGAGCAGAGACGGTACCGAAGAATCTGCTTTATCTGTCAGTCCCTGCTGAGTAGTGACTGTCTTTGAGGTAGGATATGAGGGATAAGTTGCAGCGGTAGAAACTTCAGCAGAATTGCTGTTTTGAGTATTTAAGTCTGAATCTTGAGCCATTTTGGCCACTTCAAGGAGTTTGCTGAGTTTAGATAAAGAGCCGGGCTTTTGGAGGAAGAGATTGTCTTTGCCCTGATGGCTCTCTGGCGTGTTTATACCGCCGTCTGTGTTCGGTGCTGAGCTGGAGACCGCCGGCTTCATGGTCTCTTCAAGCTGCTCCTCTTTCACCCTGATCACCTGAGCAGCCCACTGTCTTTTCCTCTCCTTCTCCACCTCGTCACATCCTGAGTCACATGAAAGTAAAGTCAGCTGTGGCACAGTGGACCAAAAAAAACGTGCACATTTCTGATCTTGTACACGTTTAATAAAAGGACAAAACTGGAGACAAATTGTGTCATGGGTTTTGCTTTGCACCTTCACCACTCTCCATGCCTTCGACAAAGATGCCGCCACACTGTGGAAGGACCCAGTAACGCCTCCTGTATCGGTCTTGACCAATCATCACGGAGCGCAGCGAGTGCGACGAGTCAAACAGCTTCTGTCTGATTTGACTCTGTTGCTGCAGTGACAGAAAGTACATAAAATTGAACTATGAATCCATTTATGAGGAAATCATGAGAGAAAACGGTCTCGCGGGGTTTAATTTACCTTGTATGTTCTCTCAATCTGTTTCTCCAGCTCCTCGATGCTGGCTGAGTGTACACTGTCATCCTAGAGGAACAGATCTCATTACTGTGAGGCCAGCGGACCGGCTGACATTTACTATAACAAACACTGATTTCGCCAGTGGCTCCTGTGAAAGCATTACGCTGCTGCTACTGACCTCTTCTTCACATATCTCTGCTTTCTTCCCTTTCTTTCCCCCCGGTTCTTCCTCCTCGTCTTCGTCGTCGTCTCCTTGGTCCTCGCTGTCGTCGTCGTCGTCCTCTTCCTCCTCACTGTCCCCTTCTTTCCTCTTGCATTTGTTTCTGATGGTGGGGATGATAAAGGTGTGGTTGTCCTCGCCTGCCACACTGCTGTCTCTCTTGCCTGTCTTCTTGGAATGGATGCTCCTCAGTCTTTGCAAACAAAAGAAAAAGAAATGTATGGAAGCATTTTTGTGCTTTTGACTCATTTGCGAACACAAAATATCAACGCACAGAATTTTTCAATAACAGCTTGTATACTCACTTGCGAAGCTTTCCCTCGACAACCCACTTATCCTTCCTCAGGTTGGTCATATAATCTATGTTTTTGTCGATCTCGCTGAAAAAACATCGGACGTTATTGAAACCGGCATTTCTGTGACCTTTTTGTACAACGAGAAGAGCAAGAGGTGGTTTCAGCGCATTGCAGCGTGCGGCAGACGCGTTTCAAAGTGTAGCGCCGATGAAAAATTGATGATGCGTAGTTTGATGCAACCTTGTGAAACTGTCTATCAGATCATGATTTGTCATATTCCTTTTCATACTTCAGTTACTCTATTACAACTGAAGGATGCATGAATAAAACAAGCCCGTATGTTCCACATTCAGGCGCAGAGATTAATTTGTTCACTTCAGGCACACGAGGAACACTCATCTATATTGTGCGCTGAAAACGCCTTTCACAAGCCGACAATATATCATATCATTTGAAAAAAACAAACCTATCAAAGCCTGAAAATGATTTATTGTAGTGGTAGGCTATTTGCTATCAAAAGCCAATTAATGTGACTATTTTTGAAAACCGGGCCGACTTTGATTGTCACATGGGGGTGAATAGATGATATGAGTGTCAGAAGGAGTTCTCACCTGATCACAGCCTTACTACAGCAGAGCTCATTAACCAGGAATGCCAGAATGGAGGCCTTCTGTGACGGAGTGTGGGCCTGAAAAGCTTTAGTCCTGAGGCTGGCGGCCAGAGCAGCCACCTCCGTCTGCTCAGAGTGTCCCTCCATGTAGATTTGCAGGATCTCGGACGCGTTGTCTCGGTTGATCTCCACGTTAGTCAAGTGGTCCCCCAAGCTGGTTTTGCTCTAAAAAAAAACAAAACAAAAAAACGTGCGTGTCAAAAATGTATTTCAGTCACAGTGTTTATCAAACTGCGACGCTCAAACAAGAATTCGTATTTATGTACTGTAACCTTAAGCAATTAGTCACAATTGATGGCTGGCAGAGAACTGTCCTTTGGAGCAATTATCTCTTCATGACGCTAAGTGCTCGAATGTCCCCCAGGATGTGTCACATCTAGGATGTGCGGATTATGAGAGATGCTCGATGTTTAGCTGGGCTATTGTATGTATATCTCTCTCTCGCTGTGTACACAACAGTCTGAGACAACCTCTTACAAGGAAAATTATGTAAAATCACATAAAAGCATGATTACACCCTGCAGCACACCGATGAGGTATGACCTTGGGGGATGAATTAAAATTATGGTTTAAGATGTCTAAGAGCTCTTAACAAGGATATCCTTGTAAACAGAATCTTCGTTTAGATCCCCAGAGCTGCAGAACTGAGCCAACTATCATCTGTGTCTCACTGGAGGACGGTGCCTACACATCTCCTTATATATACATAAAGCACTACCCTATATCTCTGCTGTCAGTTCTTCCTTAAAAATCTTGAATTACACTTTTGTTTTTTGCAACTGGTAATACAGTGACTAAAGCAGTGGAAAGTATTTAATATGTTTTATGGGCACAGAGCAGCATTTGTGTGTCAGTCAGTGTATTTGTTCCATCTCAAATCATCAGAGGTCTTCTGCCTGAACATCTCTGATTTGCTTAAAACTTTATCATAAACTATAGATATATAAAATGATGTCTGTGAAATTTTAGACCGATATATCAAGTATGTTTTAAGATGTTTGTGTTTTTTCAACTGCCTGTTGCCCACCTTACAGCACATTTTTTCACATATTGAAAATGAAAGCTGTGTTTGGATGAAAATATCTCAGCAACTATTGAAGATAAAAAATTTCAGTTATTTCTCATCATGTTGTTGATTCAGAATCTGCAATATGTAGAACAAGTAGATGAAATAAAATCAGATTATGGGTGAGTTAAAATATTTTTAAAAAATTTAAGTCATCATGAGAAGACGAGCAGACTTTAACAGAAAAGTTGTAAAGCAGACATAAGCCAGTGATGTTTTCTGAACCATACGTAGTTGCATGTCACAAAATTAGACGACAAAACTCATTGAATACTTTGATGAAGGTTATTTTGACTGAACTTATTGAGCCGGTGTGACAAGTTGTACTACAAAAACAAATATGTTGCTACATGGCTTAACCAGTAGATGAGAGTTCCAGAGGTACAACATTATTCTCCAAATATAACTATATATATATTTTTCATTTTCTAACCTTACTTTGTAGGTATAAACCTTGGTTTGGAGGGGACTTGTCATGCAGTTTTGTGTAATTTCTTTCGAAATTATCAATGTTTTGGGTTATTGGAATGACACCAGCATCATGTAACCAGGACCTGTGTGTGTAATTTCCAGTAGAGAAAGCATTTACAACCCAACAACTGTACAAATACAACACACACATTGACAGTCTCTCACCTTGTGCCCTGCAGGTATACCAGGATCACACACAGCTGCAGACAGCATGCTCACCAGCAGGTCCTGCACTTTGCCCACACTGCGCCCGGTGTTGAGCAGCCCCTCCTGAAGGTCGCCTACCGTGAGCATGTTGGAATTGAACTCCAATCCCAGGACCTTTCCAAAGCTGTGCAGGAACTGCAACACCATCAGGCAGTCAGAGAAGGTGTTTCCTGACAAGACCAGACCAGGAATACGGGACAAATCTGGAAGTGGCTGGAGAGAAATACAAATGTGTTATATTTTTGTAATCTTTTTTATAACTAGTGCCCTCCAAATCCCTAAGAAACAGATGTTGCACTGATGATATGAGCCCTTCTTACAACATTACTACACTTTATTATAGCTTTTAATAAAGTATAACGTACACAGGCCCGCATTTTCTACAGCGCAGGAGTTATTTTTCCAGATTAGATAGTACTGATAATGAAATTGTAGGAATACAAACCCCTTCTTTTTACCAGTATCTGATCTCTGCTTGGTGCCATGTCATTAATATCCACTTGGTGGCAGTGTTTTGACCTACACCTGCATCCTTTTTAATCAGTTCCAGATGCTTTCAGTGGTATTAAGCATCTATTTTGGTATCGATAGTGAAACAATGAAACCACGAATTTACCAAAAGCCATTCTAATCATCACGTATGCAGCTTTTACAGTGATTATGCTGGTTGATTTGTGTGTTTTCTTTCTTTTTTTTTTTTTTAAACACCCAGACTGGTGGTAAATCCAATCTTTCCACTTACATTTACTCCACAGATGGACGCTATCCATGGTGACAAACATGAAGTCTCATTTCCAACAGCTAGAGGGTGTGAATACCTTGTGATCTGCTAAGCACATGTCTTCATTTGGTTTCTTCAGCTCCTTTGCTTTTTCCAGCTCCAGTCTTCTGAGCTCCAGTTTCCTCTCCTTGTTCAACCGTTTCTCATCCTTCTTTTCTTTCTTCAGGCGCTCTCTCTCCTACAGAAAAGTTTAACAGCATACATTAATAATGACACTGCTGTGGACGGTCATCAGAACGGTCCCAGTCAGGTATAATACATTATTTTTACGGAGGATTGGCACAAAAAAAAAAACACAATCAAACCTCAGTTGTGTTGCATAATCAAAAGCTGCATCTACAAACCAATTTAAAAAGGTTGCTGTACTGTTTCATAGTATACTGTCCAATAAACAGCAGCCCAATAAAACAAAATCAAGATGTGCATCTAATATTATCAAACATTGCACATCCATTTCATAGACAGCTTGTCTGCATTTTAAATTAAGAGGACTTTACGTCATATCTGATATTTTACCCCTCCTAACTCTTTAAAAATATACTTCGAAACTGTATCAAAAATGTATTTAATTAATGCTTTATTCCCCAGATGACGTCAACTTGAACTTTTAAAAATGCAAATTTCACTTTATTTCAATCTCTGCTTCATTTGGCTCACAGCATTCACACATTCTCTCATCTTCAGTCACACCTGTGTGTCTTCCAGCTTCAACATTTAGCGGAAATAAACCACATCTCATCTGTGCACAGGGGGATCTCTCATATATATTCACATGTAATCATTCTAAACTGAACAGTAATCCACTCTCTTGTGATAAATCTAATACTTCAATGTCATATACTGTACACATTGTGCTTTGTCTTCTCACAGCTGCACTTTTACATGACTTTGCTGAGAACATGAGCAGTAAAACAGAATAAGAGAGGACAGGATGAGCTTTAATGACCCACCTCTGCCTTCTTGCGGGCCTCCACGGCCTTCATGAGTATCATGTGCTGCCTGCGTCTTTCTCTCTCCTGGCAGAGCACAGACACAAAGTTTAATTCTATTCACACTATTTTTTCTTTTAAGAAAAATTAAATGCAACTTACAATGTGAACCACATGACATGCACAGTGCAAGAATAAGTGTAGGTCACTGCTCGTCACAGTCAGTATGTTGACGGTGTTCAACAACAAAAAAAAAAAAAACAACAACACGATGATGAACAAGAAGCAAATGAGGGTAGTGATGCATACACGAAGCATAAGCTCAAAGTTAGAGACGGCCATTACAGTATTAATCTGAACGTGCTGGCAAGAGGCAGACTGAAAGCTAGTATTGGCTGAGAGGTTTACTACGATAAGCAGCAGATATTGTGTTACAGCGACAAGTAAAATACTGAACATCATAGGACATAAAACATCCTGGAGATTATGTACTAATATAAAACACTTTTAATGTATTTACACACAAATGCACAAAAGGAGTTCTCTGGAATCAAGGTATGTTTTTAACCTATTGAGCAGATAATGGATGCAGACATATGCAGTGCGCTGTTCTGAAGAAGACATGCAGAGGGGCGTTGAATGACTGTAGCCGGTGTCTACGTTTTCACTCATCGCTATGATGGCGGCAACCACTCAGCACAACACAGTCACAATATGCTGTTAAACGTACAGAAACAAACATACTCGTACCATATCTAGTCTATGCCTCTCCAACTCCTGGTAAAAAGAGTTGGCAAAGTATTAAGAAATAGAAAAAAATCACATATAAAAATTCAATGCAAGAAACATTGGAACTTGAAAGGATAAATTGTGCTAATGACGATTATTTAGAGACCATCTTAAAGAATTCAGATCGCGGTCGTGGGCGAGATACCTACTTGGTGCTTTAGTATGACAGCTTGCAGTCGTCGCATCTCCTTCTCCTTCACAAAGACAATTATTGAGTTAGAAACAAAAACATATGCACATTTACAATATTTAGAATTGGCAAAGGCAGGCTTTCTTATCTTATCAAACCACATCATGCTAAACTTCAAGCCCTATGAGCTTTATTAGTCAACCTGAAGTGAAAATGTAAACATCCTCATGGGTGATCCTGCATTTTTTTAATTACAGGGACCAACTAACCCGAGATAAATCTCTTTAACGCTGACAAGCTTTACAATAGAGCGGAAACGCTGCTCTACAAAGATGTGGGACATCCTGAACAACCGATAGAGACCGAGAATGGAAGCAACAGTGGCCAAAACAATACAAAACATCTGCGCATAAATCTCATGACACTCACCTTGTTTCGTTTCTCAGCCTCCAGTATTTTGGCATTGGCTGCTGCTTCTTTTTTCTTTCTTTTTGCCTGTGTGTGAAAAACAGGTCTTGAGGTCACGCCGCAGTGAAGCTCTCAGAGAATTGGTGAAGGACTTTTTTACTAATACTATATATAAACATACGATATTGACAGATTCTTTTTTTATAATTAAAAAAAACATTACGTGACAATAATATATTGTTGGAAAAAAATATTAAAAGTATAAAATATACATACATTTGAGCTGTAATAAAATAAATACGTATTCAGTGTATGTTTGCTGGACGGCTATTTTTAAATCTGTGGCTCTCTCACTATTTTGAATCTAACATTCTGAAATCTTGAGCAATGATATAATTATTTCCTCCCATTAACACCAAAAGACAAAATGGCTGCAGTTATTATGAAACACCAGCAGGCAGTGAGAATAAATTAAGCAAAATTTCTATCAGTAATTATAGCCCCAACGAAATCCTGTTAAGAGCCACTTGCCAAGCGTGTCAGCTGAAATTTGATTTATAAAGGCTAAAATACTTCACAGCTTATATTAGTGAGGGAATGCAAAATAGGTATTTCACCTAGCCGTGGTAAACTCTGGGCCACCTCTTACATAATGAAATACTGTATTTTGTATTAAGCTCCAACACGGTCTGAGGAGATTTTCATATTCAATGGCACTTCTGCAAAAAACCAATTAGGCATTAGTCACATGTACTGACTAAAAGTGGGGCCACATAATTTAGGAATAGCCTTTGGTTGTTTTTTTAAATCCTATCAACAGCAGAAAGGAAGTGTTTTAAAATGTTTCTGCAATAACTTTCAGGACGAACCTCGAGAATTTGCTGTGCACGGAGTTCTTTCTCCATACGAATTTGCTGAATGCGCTTGATCTTCTCCTGGTAAAAGGATGAGGGCAAGATCAAATGAATTAACTGTTAAGTCATGCATGTTATAGAGTGGTGGTGGAGGTGGAGGGGGGCGTGGGAGGGAGCAGGATGTGGGGTGAAGAAGTAAAGCGGGTCTATGCAGATGAGGAAGGTGCAGCATTTTGAGGAACAGCAACTTTCTTGTAAAGTTTTCAAAGCAATTCAACTGTGCTTAAAACCTTTTCACCTTAAAACCCTCGGCGTGAACCGAGCAGCTGCAGACGGTTAAAAAAAAAGCTCTGCGCGGAAAACTAAACAATGCGTGGAATGGAAAATCCGTACTTGCTGTTTAAGAAACTTCATCTGCTCCCTCTTTTTCCGCCGCTCCTCGGCAGCCATTATTGCTGGAAACACAAACAAATTAGGCTCGCACACAGCACATCGTGTAGTGTGAGAGAGGAGTCCGTCTAGAGAGCGGCTGTTTACCTTGTTGCTTCCTCGCCTCCTTGGCTGCTTGTGCCATGGCCTGCTTCTCCAGCTTTCTCATCATTTTGATCTGAGCTGCCTGTCGAGCTATTTCTGCAACATGATGAGATAGAAAACGTGAAATCACAGACCCTACTGAGTTAGAAACTTTATTAAAAAACTGACCAACAGATACTCCCCAAATCCCTCCAAATCCCTCCAGAGAAGCTGCCTGGATTTGTTGTGACAAGTTAATGTTTTAATATCTATGTGAAGAGTGCAAAATGCTATTGCAGCCCCTAAGAGCGAAAAATCAAGTTGAGAAAAGCGCCTCTCGGGCCTCACGGTTGCAGAAATAATCCTCACAGGTTGATTTGGAGGTGCTGACACAAAATATTCACCACTAATATTTTAGATTTCTCATTTGTCTTAACAATATCATGCTGGAGTTCCTGGCTTTCCCTGGTTAGGCTAATGTAAAAATGAAAAGATCCACATTTTATGGAAACATACAGAACACTAGGAGGTGATAACAAAGATTAACCGAGGTAAAGACAATCTCTTCTGACGAGAAGTACAGCAGAGCAAAGAAATTACACAGCAGACAAGCAAGGGCACAGACTGAGAGTCAGGGGTTTGTCGGACATTTGGCAGCTGCACAAGACAGCAGGTCTGATATTAAAGATAGCTGAGCGTGTTTTTTTTACAATTAAACTCTGCTGTAGCTGAGCTGAAAATACGTTGTGTGTGATATCACATATATCCAGGTGGCCAATTACCCTCATTTAAAAAAATAAATGCAACAAACCACAATGTGCAAATGACAGGTACAATATGAAGCCAAAAGCTGCCGGCGTTTTAAGTTGGACTTTAAACAGGTGCCGCTGATTCTGAGCTATAAACTGACCTTGAGCCTCCAGTTTACGCTGCAACTTGGCATCGCTGACGTCCTGGAAGTTATTTTCACCAACATTTAGAGGGTAAGACTTCCACTGTCTGGATACGGCGCCGTCACCGGTCAGCTGGTGCTCGGACTTTGTGCGGCGGCTTCGCCTCCCGTCCATCGCTATGATAGTGGGGGCGATCTCATCCTCAGCCAGCGAGAACCACTGTAACCCCTGGGTAATTTAAAGTACACGGAAGAGGGGTTAAAATAAGCAAATAAATACAAATTACTAGTTTAGCTTTGGGCTCCATTAGAGCGTAGGTGTAACAGCTTCATTTCTCTAAGTAAACAGTCTTAAAAACAACCACATATCTCTTGTTTGTACTATTTTATTTAAAGGTTCATATGACAACAGTTGTGTTTTGGAGGTCGTGGGAGATCCTGCCTCTTAAAAACACAAATAAATATGTCGCAACATTTACCTTTGGTCCTTCTCTGGCTTCATAGAAGTCGCCAACTTTAATTTTTGTACTAAAGCTGAAGTTGTCCCGAGTGATTTCAGTTATCCCATTCCTGACAAGGTACTGCAGATAAAAGAATAATTAAAGCATAGATGGGAACCAGAAGCCATATTCAGTGATCAACTACCAAAAGGCAATTACATAATGCTTCAGTTGTGCAATTAAAATCATTAAATTCCTTACATCTACAAATGGCTGACTTACCTTCATCACATCAGGGTACTGACGCAGCTTTTTCCCACACGGGGCAAAGTAAGCCACCTCCCCTTGTAGACGGCCCGCCACAGTCCTGATACGGGTCTCTCTCTGCCACCTGAACAAAGAAATTGAAAACGAAGTACAACATGCGTATTATGAAACCGACTGCAATCAGTGAAACCGCACTCCCAAATGGTCACAGGTCAAATGGGGCAACCACTCGGTTCCCCCTGTGGCTTATACTAAAGACCCGCAGGTTGTTCCAGACAGAACAAGGGCTGAAATATAGTCCCGTGGCCTCTACTTCCTGTGAACCTGGTGATGAAAAACATCCCTAAAAGATGAAAGGCTGTCCTCATTTAAGGCTGCAGAATTTGTGGGCAGGGAGCTGCTAATGTTGCATGTCTGTGTTGAGACTGGATGCAATTAACCCCTTGTGCTGAACTGCCGGGCCTCATTTAATTTCCTGCCCGCTGTAACCTCCTACTCAAGGAGTCCCCCAAAAGGAAGATGATTTTTTTGTGTAGTCTAATTCTAATCAGTCAGTGACAGAGATGTCATTGCACTCAAATCAGGAACTCTAAATTGTCTAAGCATGATTGCCACTTTGGTGTCAAGTTTCGTATTCAAACAGCAGCAGCAGCAGAAACTGGAGAAAAACATGACAGCTGAAAAGAAACTAGAATGACGGTTTCTTATTTATTTTTTTCCCTTTTCTTTCAGGTACTTGATAGAACCTGAACTTTAAGCAAACTGTCTGTTGTATGTAGCAAACAACACACACGTGACCATATATACTGTGACTCTCAGGCTGCTCCACAAAGCTGCAGGTGACGTTTTAGGAAAGGTCACTTTTCAGCCATCAGTGAGCTGACATTTTACTTTAACACCGACTGCATAAACACCCAACAACGGAGCAAATATGACAGAGAGAACAAATGGGACATGGTCAGACTATCAAACCTTTATCTGTTTCTTTTAATATAAAGTACGAGCACAATATCTCACCCAAACTCGAGAGGCAATCGCAGGACTCTCTCATCCGTGACCCTCCTCCTCTTCCCTGATCCTAGAAAACAGGAGAAATGACTCAGCGCTTTTCTCCTCTCTAGTGGGACCTGCACAAATCCACAAACCTGCCATGTTTACAGAAGTATCCGCTAGACAAAGCGAGGGAGGCATCCATTTTCTCCTTGTGCAACATCCTGCAAAAGCACACATGCTTGGCCCTTGTCAGGAAAATTGTTTACTATATGCAACACGTATATAAATATTAGACAAACATTATTCTGGTGTTCTGAAGAATTGTACAAAATATACACACAAAAAAACAGAGACAGGTCTGCAGCTCCTGCAACAGTTTAGTGGTTGTAGTATTAGTAATATAAAACACGATTTATTTTCCGACTGTATAAAAATTTGTAGCTGTTAAATGTTTCTTCAAGACCGCCGGCAGTAATTTATGACACACAGCCAGGGCGTGATTCTTTTATTATTCCATAGGACGACTTAATGGAACAAGACACGACTGTTTTACCATTATGACACGTCGGTATCCACCCCTATTAGTAATACAATACACTATGAGTCATCGGGTATCAGATATATAAAGCATCTGCCTGGGCTGCTGAAGCGAAAGCTGCAGGGTGTCATCAAAACAATGATGCAACCAATTTCCTGCAGTGAGCTTGTGTTAACTAAAAACTATTGAGAAATGAGTGATACATCCAAGCTTTCAGTCTGGAAAAATAAACAACCTCTATACGGAGACGAGTGGGGGGAAAAAGAAACACGATTCCGGCTTTGGGAATGATCCTGCTTTACTATCTGAGTGAAGACACTTTCCTGAAACCTGAACCACAGATCCAAGTATTAACTGTTATTGCAGCTGGGCTACGGGTGTGTTTAGTGTCTCAGAAAACAGAGATTTCCTACCTGGCATTGTTGCAAATGAGAAGCATGGGGACGGGGTGCTGTGTTTACTCGGCGCCATGGTGCTAGTGGTGGGGGTGAGTAAGCCACTGGGTTGACTCGGAGGCTTGGTAATCTGCAGGTTAAGTAGGGAGCAGTTGGCTGAGAGGGCCGGAGAGGGCTTGTGAGCAGACAACGATGCTTTAGGTGGTTTCAGAGGACTCCTCTCTGCGTCGCTATCTGCTTCTGTCTCAATGCACTCCTTGATATCATCCTCCGAGCCATCGGAGTCGCTCTCCAGATTGCTCTCCGACTCTGCGGGGGATTCCAGTGTGCCACAGAGAGACAGAAAGACCTGAATTATATCCTAATTAATATTCCTCACACATCCAAACCATACAGAGCCCTGCAAATTTCCAAATGAAACCTCAGCTTTCACACCTTGTATGAGCAATAACTTGCTATCAGTTGCATCTTTATTAAATTAAAGGAAGGTCTAGTTAAGCTAACCTGAAAGGCTACTGCCAGAATCTTCATCCTCAATATCGTCTTCATAGTTGTCGTCGTCATCGTCGTCATCATCGTAATCGTCTCCTAAGGAGTCGTCTGAGTCTTTGCTGCTGTGGATGTCAGACTCACTGCCTCTGGCCATGTCCACGGGTGGACAGGATGAGCTGCTTTTGGTAGAATTCTTTCCTGCATGCAGTATCTTGGTAGTCTTTCTTGGTTTGGGAGCAGGTCCCGATGAGGCAGATGGTTTAGGTGGGGAAGCAGAGCTGCCCGACTTCTCCTTGGTGCCAGTGCTCAAGTTGATGGGCATTGGGTAGGGAGGGCTGGTAGCTGCCAGGAGAGGCTTGCTGTTGGGGGTGCTGCTCTGGCTGCGGGGCTTAGTGATGAGGGCCAAAGGGGCATCCTGAACCGCGCTGTGGATGGCTCCGTTAGGCTGGAGGTTCAGGAACAGGTTGGTGTCACTGTGGATTGGGAGAGACAACAAACGACTGCTGAGTGTATCTGACAAACAGCTAGGTGGTGTCAGCAACAATGAACAGGAAGCTTAGTTGTGACTTTCATACCAGCTTTGGCTCGTAGGTCGCAGAGAGAAAGTCTGCTTCACAGAATCCTTGGAATTGAGGGGCTTCATAGATAAAAATGAAAAAAGAAAGGAAAACAAAGACAAAAAGGAAGTAATTACACAAACTGTCAGTCACATAACATTACTGTGGGCCGTAAATGAAGGAATTTAAGGTGTAATAAGTGACAGAGACAATGAAGAGCAGGCTCAAGCCTGTCAACAACAATGAAGAAAAACAGGCAGCTATGGAAAAATATTTTAGTGCCATTATGAGACGTTAGCTGTCATCTTGTATTTGTTGCTATTGTCATACTCTGGCAATCAAAAGCCTGCATTTAAGGTACAACCATCATACGAATTAAAACCCTCTTGTTACAGATTGCTGCATTTTCCCTCCTCTCAGAATAGTGACAATAACTGAGTCCTGTTAAAGAGGCCAGTTTCTCTCTCTTGATAACAAACATCCCAAAGCATAACAGAGCTAATTGCTTGTCAGTTTTGTGAAGTATTCCCAGTAGAGCTAAACACACTGTCACTTCACACATCATGTACTGGTCAGACGCTCAAGAAGCATAATAAAAGCCCTGATAATAGCGTATAAGCATTAATTTTCTATTGTGAAGGAACACAATGATTTGTATTTATTTCATGACAGAAACAATGATGGCCATTAAACAAAACAGGGCTGCTCCTGTTTAAGAAGATAAAACATACTCTTAAGCTTCATTGCAGTAATTTAGTTTTTCAAAACCCACTCCAGTGCAGCAGAGCGAATAAGACAAAGACTCACCTGCTTCAGCGTAAAAGTGCTCAAGTGTAATGAGCTTTCATCGGGAAGGTGTCCACTGCCTTCCTTCGTGCAGTCTACGGGCTGTGGACGCTTGCTACAGGGCATCAGAAATCTGGGTTTATTCGAGGGCTTTTTCGAGGCCAACAGTGTCAGCGGTTTGGGCGGAGAAGCGAGGGAGAGAGGTTTGAGTGAACACAGAGGTGAGGGTTTGGGTGAGGAGCACAGAGAGAGGGGCTTCTTAGGGGAACAGAGAGCAAGAGGTTTAGGAGAGGAGCAGGCGGAGCTACGAGTCGGCGAGGACAACGGACTGAAGCGCTTTGGTGAAGTTACGGTGGGCAGGTGTTTGGATGAGTTGGAGAAGGAGGTGGGGTTGGGTGAAGGCCTGGAGGGCAGAGGACAAGCCTCCCTGTGGGACTTCACTAAGAGATTGTTGCTGACTGTCAGTCCCGTGGCCTGTATGACACTGATGTGCTTCTGGCGTTCCTCCTCCGACGTGCGGGGGCTCTGGAGAAACTTTGCTGTGGACTGCGGCAGGCCAGCAGGATGAGAGTACTGCAGCTGATAGGAGGAAGTCAAAGGAACGCCGCCACAATGACTGTCTCGAGTCGTATTTCCATCATCGGCGCGAGGTCTCTTCTTTTTACTCTCGGAAGTGTTCTGTGTCAGCCGCTGAGTAGGAGGATGAGGGAAACGGGGAGAAGACAGAATGTCATGTCAGCTCCTACTGAGAGAACCTCGCAGTGGCAGCTCTGTCAGCTCGCACATACATCCAGTTTGCCACCCACCACCGAGCGTTTGACAAACCAACTAACATTTACTTAATAGGGCAGTTCTGAACTCGTCACACATTTTTTTCCACCACAAGTTTTTGTCTTAATCCTTTCAAAATGCCTTTGTGCATTTTTCTGAAAAGAAACTAAAATTATCTGAACATTTAAACATCAGTAATTCAAGATAGATGCACATACTTTGACTTTCTTCTTAACCGGACTCTCCTTCTCAGAATCAGAGTCCTCGCTGTCACTGCTCTGTTCATCCTCATCTTCGTCGTCGTCGTCCTCCTCCATGTCATCAGGATCACTGCTGCTTTCTTCACCATCGCTGGAGGTTTCTGATAAGGACCCTGATTGGCTGCCGCTCATGCTGGATGTCTCTGGCGGTCTTTTGTTGGGCTTCTTAACAAAAATGAAACGGTTAGTTAATACAGTAGAGCAGACGCAGAACGGAGCAGACAACAGCGAAGCGAGTTTCCATGAAGCAGATTGTTAAGAAACTGTTTCTAACCTTTTCCTTTGTTTTCTGGACGGTCTTCTGATGGAGCTGGTCCGGCTCGTGGCTGCGTTTTTGACTTCGACTACTGTTGGCTTGAGCTTTCTCCTTATTTCCCTTTGCTGGAAATGAAGCGGTGTTCACAGCAGAGTTCCCAGTAGGGGAGGAAGCACTGGTACCATTCGCTGCTCCATTCACACCTACAGGAACTGGCATTGGACATTTCTTTAGACAGATACTCATGAGAACAAGCAACGAGTCAAACGCATTAGGACGGCTATAAAAAAAAGATAGTAACCGAGAACAACAATAACAATTGCACTTAACAAGATGAGTTGTCTAATGGTAACGGCAGTGTTTCAAAGATATATTGGTGTCCGTACACTGCGAGGACTCATGCTGCTTGTTAGTTTATTCTTCATTTAGATGCCTTTATTATCGTCTCATAGGGCACAAATTACGGTTATGGCATCATTGTTCAGCGAGCGAGTTCTCGTTTACCTGTGGAACGTGAATCAACAGGATCGTGGCTTTTGAAGCTTGATACAAATACAGGATGCAGACCTAGAAGAGGAGGAAAGAAGGCTGTCGCTCCTCTGGTATGTGCCTCAGATGGTCGCCACCAGTCTGAGAGGAGGAACAAGACGCCGTACAGTTTGGTATAAATAGCTCCCAACAATCGAATCTTTCAGCAAAGTAGGAGCAGCACATTATCTAACTCAAAACATGGAACTTAAAAGCATTATTCACTTAATTCAACATATATTTTTGCAATTAAACTAAATCGTGGCAGAGTTTCTGTAAATATCCTCCGAAAACAGCACCTTCAGTCTAAAACTTTGATTTAAACGGTGTGTTATTCAAAATGCACACAATCATTTGTTAGATTAAATTTATAACATTAGGACCAAAACATTTTTGAGAGAAAATTGGAAAAGAAGGGACCCAGGTCTGTGCTCTTTTATCTACCCATCAAAATAAAGGTTTTACTTCCATTAACAAAATAACAAAGAAATGCACTTTGAGCTTCTTTACCTGGAAAAGCACCAAACTGAGAGTGAGCAGCCAAGGCAGACAAACCCAGACTTCCGAGGCCTCCAAACTCAGAGCGGCCTGAGTTTGATGTGTAGAGGCCAAAAGCAGGACGGCTGACTAAGTTGAGTCCGTTGGAGCTGCCAGACATGTTTAAACGTTCATCCCCCGTCATCCGCAGTGACTGACCTGAAGAACAAAACGTACGGTTTTAAGAACGCTGCAAACAATAAATCATCACTCTTTAAATCCTGCTATCTAAAGAGGTTACTCGTCTACCTGTTGATACAGAAGGACAGTACAGTAACAACAATCTATTTAACGTTTCAGGGATTAGTAACTGATTGCTAACTCATTTATGAATTACTAATTATGACACACATGACAACAATAGAGATAACTTAAGTTTGATTGATATGGTCTCAGGTGGACGATGGAAAAGTGGGTTTTCTGAACGCTTCTAAAGATGGAGTTATCTGTCGTTGCAAATTAACTCTTCGTATAACAAAAATAAAATTAAAATGGATATTTAAAAAAATAAATTCCTTTGCTTGGTGTTATACCGGTCGACCTTTTCACTGCTGACCAAAGATATATTCTGCATATTTTATTATTGGTTGCCAAGAAAAATGTAGCAGCAAACTGGAAGAATGTTAAATCACCAACTGTGGCTGAATGGAAGCAGAGGCTGAGACAGATATATCTCATGGAAAGAATGAAACCGCATCATCACAGCTGAAAATGGACCTTTTTGATTGGAGGTGGAGCACGGTCGGAAAATACCTATTAATGTGAACTATTTAGGTTGTTGAGGCTGTTATGCAAGTAATGGAAATGGACCCAGAAATGGACCCTGACACAATGTGAATTTGTCTTCTTTTCTTTTTATTATCTTATCATCTATCTATCTATCCATCTATCCATCTATCCATCCATCCATCCATCCATCCATCCATCCTGTTTGTTTATCCTTATTACCACACTGTGTAATGCATATTTGATATACATTTGCATCACATGCAGCAATATCTATGTATGTAATATGTTTTTTACCTTTTTAAAAAATCCAAAAATCTAAAAAGGTTGGTTTAAGTTACGTTTTTAAAAGCTACCCACAGGCTAAACCACTTCATAGCTTTATTTCTGAGCCAGAATTGAGAAATCCTGATGTAAAGACGTCATAGACTATTGGTGACCTAAGGTTGGAATGCATCTCTAATGCTGACACCACGCAGGGCTCTTACAAGCGACGGCAAAAATCTTCAACTGAATTTGATAGGAAACCAGCGTAAAGAGTTCATAAGTGGATTTACATGAGGCCTGGTTGACAATGCAGCAGACACATTTATAAACAAATCCACTGTACCTCCTCTAGAAGCAAAGATGACATGAAAAATGTTTCACAGAATTTTTTTAAAATAACGACTTTTCTTAAACGTAAATATGGAATCAGACACTTGCTCTTTTTTTTGTAAAAATAATAGGAGTTGCTGCTTAAAAACATTTCAAAATAAGCTCACACAGTGGGAGCAGTTAGAAGGCCTATAAAAGTATGAAAGCTTGAGTGGAATTCTGTTCAAAGAAGTGCTGCCTTCAATGGGCGTGTGATATCTTTTCTGATTCAAGCAGACGATAAGAAATCTTTGAAAAAAAACTCAATTTACTTGATACTCATAAAAGCGATGTGACTAGAGAGGTGCCAGCGTGCTTTCAGCATTTAGTGTTCAGCCCCAAATAAATTATCTGGGAAATTTCTGTGCACGTTTAGTATGGGGATGTGAAAAATGAATAATTTATAAGAATGTCTCTCTGCTCTTCATTGTGATAGCGAGAGAGAAAAAAAGAAAAAAAAAAAGAAAACACTACTTTTTGGTGCATCTTATCATGAAGGAAAAGAAAATAATTACAAACCATGGTATGTAAATTTGCACATTATTTTGTGGTCAGGGGTAATCTGACAGCTTATGCATCACCTCTGCTCGGTGGATAATGGCTTTGGCCACAATTGGTATTCAGAGAAAACAAGAGATGTTGGTGGCTGCATGCTCAGTGTGAGGCTGACAGACATGTCAAATCACAGAAGATAAACTGGAGCAAGAGGTTGTCAAAAGAAATCCACAAGGGCATACACAGCTTCTTAATTGTTGGCACTCATTAATTCAACAGCCTTTTCATTCCTATCAAAATTGTCTGCAACATATTAAGACTGGAAGGAGGTGCCTTATTGTAGTGTAAAATTTTAATTTGGTGTTTCCACAGAATGTAGGTGGATAGTTCCTCTAAACACATTTGCCTCTTTAGAGGTTTATGTAGAACTGCAGAGTAATTTTTAAAAGTCAGTCAGAATTAAGGATAAATTTACATATATTAGCAGCTACTGAAGTGAAGGTTGTTTTGTGGATTTGGAATGACTGTTGATGAGCTTTAACCTGCCTCACATCATTTTTTTAAAAAGTTTTTTCTTGGCCTATTTGCCTTTATTGTATAGGACAGATAGACAGCAAAGTAGGGGAGAAGAATGGGGGGAAGGAATTGCAGCAGAGGGCCGTGAACGGGATTCGAACCCATGGCCATTGCGTTGGGGACTATAGCCCCTGTACATGAGTCGCCAACTCAACCAGCTGAGCTTTAGCCGCAGCCCTCTCAAATCATTTTTCAACCTTGTCCAACATATGTGCAGAACAATCAAACGACTTAGCCTCGAGTCACATTTGATCTGGTGCCGCGACTTTGCTCACATTTAAGCGAGTCTGAAGTTTTCTCTGTGCATACGTACCGCAGGTGGTGAGAGGGGAGCTGCCCTCAGGACTCGGGGCTGGACTGTACTTGGCGGGGAGCGTCTGGGGCGGAGCAGGGGAGGAGCTGGTTGAGGACGAGGCCATGTGAAGGGAGGACGTTGGCGGTGACGGCGAGGCCAGCCGCTCTCCGGACTCCATGTCTGTCAAACGCAACCCAGTCGACACCTACAGGATGCAAGAAAAGAGAAAGATTGGAGGAAAAGCTGCTGGTGGCCCTCAAGACTCCTTCTGAACAAACAAATGGCATGAACAACGCTGCACAGAGTCTGATTTCCTTTATGAAGGCAACACATTGTCCACTATTAATAGAAATAACGCTGGCTGGTAATTCATTCGCTGAAATGTTTACAGACTGTCAAGGTACAATCAGTGCTATTTTATGTTTTTTACAAGTCTGCTGATAAATGAAATTACTGTTAAAGTCATTTATCATGAAGAAAAAAGCAAAATATTTGGTGGTTTTAGCTTCTTAAATGTTTGTATTTGCTGTGATGGACATTTTTCCTCAAGCTTTATAGAGCAATTGCGGTCCACATTGTTTGATTCAGAGTACATTATTATTAAAACCACCTCAGAAAATACTCACTACTTAAAGACTTTCAAGGTTAGACGTGTTCGAGGACTTCTGTCTGCCAAACACATTCGAATGCAACGTGCTTTATTGCATCCATTCGATTTAATGTATTCATGCATTCAGTTGAATCATTATTTACAAATATACAGTACATTATAGAGAGAGACACAGTGACACATGCGCGCCATAAAACAAAGCTGGAACGACACCGCGCACACATCAAGACACTCGGTGCCGGTGACAACTCATTCATATCAAAAGGTCTTCGCGGCTCTTTAATGTGAAGCTGCTGCCACACAAGCTGTGATCACTTAATGAGGAAGTAAGCCTAAAGAGGAACTGGTATCTCCAGCCTCTTAGATATGCATTTTCATTTCCCTCTCCACAACCTTTACATTAAGTCCACGCTGATGCATAAATGGGAGGTGTAATATTCTCCAGCGTTGTCTCTGATGACTCTCCGACCGCCGCTATTCTGCCCATCATCCAAACCGCTTCAGAAGGATTCTACTACTACTACTACTACTACTACTGCTCTCTTTCATCAGCGTTTCCTGGATTCTGCCTGAAAACCTCTTTAACGCATGCTTCCATATTGTGTTTTACACCCAGCCTTTGTTGTGTGTGTGTTTTTTTTTTCTTTTTTTTTACATTACACCAACCATTTCTAGATCTCCCCGGTGATTCTCGCCTGCGCAAGAAAACAGGCACATCTGATTAATTTGAGGAGACAAAGCTACCCTCTGAATATCAAGTATCATCCCTCATCAGCAACAGCACTGATGAGACACAAATGACACAAAAGCTGCAGCCATGCTTCACTGCAAAGGACCCTGCTCCCTGCAGTAGCGCGAGTGGGAGTTTATGCACAACATGGATGCTTTCATATTCATACTAGAAAGCATCATTGAATTAAAAAAGAGCATCGTTTTGACCTTGATTCATCACACTTTCCCTTTTTGTTTGAAGATGTCCAGCATGGTGATGAAAAAGCATCTGTTTATCCGATTTAAATCTCTGGTTTGTAATACCGTAAAGATGGACAGGAATTAAAGGTGAATGTATTTGCTGTAAACATGATGTTTACTGGGGATAATAATTAAACCAGCATTTGTGTCGATGTCATGGCTGTGAATTGATAGAAATTTTTTTAAAAACTGATTTGCTTAATTTACCAAATCTAGTATCGTAAACAAAAAATATGAGCAAACAAGCCAAACTGCTCGAGAAATAAAGCCCGTGTCACGGTATTTACAAAGGCCGTCTTGACTTCATTACCAGAAATAAAAATGTGTTTAACAAGCAAATAAGCTTAAAATTCATAGGTCATAAACAATAAAACGCACAGGAGCAGAAACATATTATTGTGAGTTTCTTATAGCTGAATTTATGCACACAATCTTGATCTACGCAGCGGGACATCAGTCATATGAAGGCACGTACAGCGCAAATTTCTCGGACTGAATTATCGCCGTGTTCACACACGACTCCACGAGCAGCGTGTCGTCTCCGAGTAAAAATATCTGTTAACAGGAAAACAATGAGCTTATCAAGAGAATGAGATTCTAATGAGACAAAGAGTAAAAGCCTATGAATCACTGCAATGTACATTACTACAAATAGACAATCTAACCGCGCCACAAGTGTCATCACGATGCAGTAAACCCTTACATTAAACGGTTCTCATAACAACAGCTTAGTGCTCCTGAAAGTATTCTCACATTTCTGTCATTATAAGAATTCTGTGGTGGTCTAAAAGTTCTCGCAACGCATTGGCAATGGACACTAGGTGGTCAATAATATAAAAAAATCTAACTGTTTGCAGTGAGTGGATGGGAAAATACAGTTACTACAGCCTATCCCAGCATGCACTGGACAGATGGCAGGGAAATCCTGCTACACTAGTGCCAGTCCATCACAGGGCACACTCACACCAACAGACTATCTTAGAGTCTCCAGCTACAGCGAGGCCAATCTAACTCCAAACAGAATAAGCCCCAGGAACAAACACAGCAACTCCCCGCTGCGAGGAGGCAAAGCTAACCAACTAAGCTGACATGTTGCCATGGATACAAAAACATTTACACAAGAAACATACAGTTGGCTTCAAAGCTACAGTAAGCTTATCAAATGTCTGAATTTAAATTAAGTGTGCACTTAGTTTTCTTTGTGCATTTATATTTTCTACTTGTGCCGTTATCTGCTTCGTATTTGGCTCTAAAAAAAGAAAGGCCAACGTCTTCTTTCTGGGTTTGTTTTGTTCTTTCCACACAATCTGCAGATTTTCTGTTTTCTGTGTGAGTGACTGTATCTAAGGGCTAAAATGAAGGCAACTATAATTTCTGCTAATTGTTCAGTTGATTAATCAACTAATTGCATGTCTTTACACATAATGTGGGCAGCCAGAGAAACAGTCTGGTACATAAACCCCCCACACACACATACACGCAACCGTAACGTATCGCTTGTAAACAGATTGAATAGAGCAGACGTACATATGGTCAGTGGATTTTCTTACATTCATGCTAACGTAGTCGCCCCATTCACAGTCTAAAGTAAGGCTAACTAGCAGCTGGCCCACGGTATTCATCAAACCAATGAGTGGCATAACTGTCACCCAAGTCAGTGGTTCTCAAACTTTTTGAGCCACGACCCCCAAGATAACATAAGCTTGTGTTCGTGACCCCCCAGTTTGAATTTTTAAAATCTCATGAGTAATAACGTTGTTGTTTATGCATTTATGCGTTAAAAATTAACGTGTTAGTTCCACAGATTCATCTCTTTACATTAACATGTTAATTTTCTTGACTGAATGAATGAATTGAATTTATTTCGAACACATGAAAGGGAAAAAATACACAAAAACAAAAGAAAATCATTTTAAAAAGAGCAAAAAAGAATAATAATAATATGGCAAATCATAATATTAACAAGTCCGAAAAAGGAGTGGGAAGAAGTTTACACTTTTAATTTTGACAGCCTTAATACAAATTTATTTGATAAATGTAGGTTTTATTTTATTTTTATTTCTGTTACAATGACCTGACGACCCCCTGAAATTATCTTGGGACCCCCATGGGGGTCCCGACCCCCAGTTTGAGAACCACTGACCTAAGTCTTGGCAAGAAGCCAGCCTATTTCCCAAAACATAAACTCAGTCTTTCAAATTGAAAGCAGAAATAAACAATAGAAAACAGCACAAACAATGCCAACAACTATTTACTATATCTCCTCTCTTTGTGTGTGATGAGCTGTGCATATTTCATCCTCGGATCATAAGAAGACATCAACTTTGTGCGTTCCTCCTTGTTCACGTTGTCTCTCAGCACAAAAACAGACTGCTGATGCTAACAGCGATAATCCAGCAACAGAGTCATTAGCATGGATCAGCGGTATTCGAGCTGCAAACACAGTCTCTGAAGCGACTGGAAGGTACGCGCGAGATAAAGGAAGAGGCAGTACATGGAAGTATCTTAACACTGTTTACTCACAGATAAAGAGCTGAATTACTCAAAGGTCCTCTATGTGTGCACCGCTAATGTGATGAAAGTGAAGTGATGAAAATAAAGAGCATGTGAATAATTATATATTTAAAAAAATGTGTCAAGCTCTGACTATAATTGCCATGCATTGCTGGTGCCCCGCTAATTAGCATTACATCACCACGTTAAAGCCACCTCCTCAGACATTAACGGCTCCTTGATTGATTCTGTACATGGCTGCTTGACTGTCTGACAGTGCTGACAGTCTGCTGGATCCCAAACCTCACAGAGCCCTACCGGCGCTCATCATCCCACTTAGCACAATTAATTCCTTCTGCTATCACAGAAAAATACCGACGGCATTCATTTTTTTCTGACCTCAGTGATGTTCTGGATGGGAGGACATAAGGGGTGTAAAAAGCTGAGAGACTTCCCGGCAGTTGACTGCAGCAAAGCAAATTTAAAAAGTCATTCACTCCCCCACTTGTCACTCTCTTTGAGGTTACCCGACAGCCCAGCTGAGATGAAGTCAGTTATATGTGTCGCTTTTCTTTCCCCCTCCCTCCCTCTACTTCTGACTACACACAAGATGTGCAGGATGAGATCTCGGCGAGCTTTTACGGTCAGAGGATGACAGAAAGCGGAGTGTGTGGGGCGGCAGGAGCTCGGTACATAACAAGTTCAGTGGTACACCCACAGTTCAGCTGAAATTCATTGCTCCTATTAGTTTCAATCAGTTCTTCATTCTGCCCGTGTCTTCTGAAGACAAGTTATGGTTCCTGGCCTTGACTCCCACTCCACCTGGAAAGTGATGAAGTGTTGTGTCTGACTGATACGACCAGTCACAGAAGGAAACTTCAGACTGACCCGCGTCGGGGAAAAACTACAGCGTGGCATAACATTACTCATACAGTCAGGCAGAGGGATGTTTTCAAGGCCAACTATTGCCGACTAGGTTTGATGATGATACAGTGGGGGGGGACTTTATGTCCCGTCTGACAACATTTCCTGTCTTTCATGGAGGTATTTTTAAAATGGAAACTAACACACTTATGCAATTAGATCAGCGCTGATGACTTCAT